TTTTTTAATTTTTAGACAGATTCTCACTCTGTCGCCCAGGTTAGAGTACAGTGGTGTGATCTCGGCTCACTGCAACCTCCACTTCCCTGGTTCAAGCAATTCTTGTGCCTCAGTCTTCCAAGCAGGTGGGATTACAGGCCTGTGCTACTATGCCTGGATAATTTTTGTATTTTCAGTAGAGACAGGGTTTTACCATATTATTGGCCAGGCTGGTTTCAAACTCCTGACCTCAAGTGATCCGCCCACCTCGGCCCCGTAAAGTGCTGGGATTATAGGGATGAGCCACTGCGCCTGGCCACAAAGCAATGATACTCTGTCTCTCTCTTGAAATTCATCTAAAAATAAAAGTTTCCTCAAACTATTTGGTTACAGTTTGGGAAAAAAAACATGATAAACACTCGATCCTTTCCCTTAATGTACTAAGTTTTAGAATTAAAAGTTCATTCCCTAGCATCCTTTAAAATGGCCAACAAATATTTTTTGTTGTCGTTGCATCATTATGAATTCCAATTTTTAACATACTGAATGTATTTTAATCTATGCTTCTTATGCCTCCCAAGTAGTTGGGACTACAGGCACACGCCACCATGCCCAGCTAATTTTCGAATTTTTAGTAGAAACAAGGTTTCACCATATTGGCCAGGCTGGTCTCGAACTCCTGACCTTGTGATCTGCCTGCTTTGGGCTCCCAAAGTGCTTGGATTACAGGTATGAGCCACCGTGTCCAGCCGTATTTTCTCATTAATCTTTACAAAATACTTGTTAAGATAGATACTATTATTATTGTTTTGTTTTTTTTTTTTAAAGAGACGGGGTTTCACCATGTTGGTCAGGATGGTCTCAATCTCTTGACCTTGTGATCCACCTGCCTCGGCCTCCCAAAGTGCTGGGATTACAAGCATAAGCCACCACGCCCGGCTGATAGATACTATTATTATTCCTTTTTTTTTTGTTTTGTTTTGGAGATAGGGTCTCATTCTGTTGCCTAGGTTAGGGTGTAGTGGCACAATCATGGCTCACTGCAGCCTTGACCTCCTGGGCACAAGTGATCCTCTCACCTCAGCCTCTCAGTAGCTAGGACTATAGGCACATGCCACCATGTCTGGCTAATTGTTTTTTTTCTTTTCAGAGATGAGATCTCGCTTTGTTGCCCACGCTGGTCTCGAATTCCTATGCTCCGGTGATCCTCCCGCCTTGGCCTTTCAAGGTGCTGGAATTATAGATGTGCGCAACTACGCCCTGCCCTAGTTCCATTTTGACAACTGGGGAATGGGTAGTTCAAGAGATTACATAACTTGCTCAAGATTCTATAGCTCCTAGGTGGCTAAGCTGGGACTGAAATCCAGTACTTTTGACTCTCAAGTTCACCATTTTTAAGCAGTTAAACAGTTTTGTGAATGATTCCTTTGCTTGCTTTTCTTAAATATTACCTGTATGTAACATCCTCAGGCATTTTTTCTTTGTTTCTTTCTTTATCCATCATTTCCACAGAATTTACTCCATTTGACTCAGGTTCAAAAAGCATTTCATATGAAATATTTTCAGTTTTTTTTAACTATAGGATAAAAAGAAACATTTTCTTTTCAAAGAATTCTTACCACATTAGACTAGCAAATCTAACATGATTCCAAAACAAAGTTTATTAAACAATCATACTCTTAGCAAATATTTACCGATAATAAATTTAGGTTCAAGTATATTAAAAATATTAACATTCTTTGCTACTAGGATGGAAAATGTTATTTGTCTAAAGAGAGGAGGTATATTGCTAAGATGCAGCTATTGGGATATAAGATTCCTTAATTGGTATTAATGATAATTTAATCTAGCCCTAACTGATTATGTTTTAAATTTTCAATTAATGCATTTTTATGTTTTTCTT